CCCAGGATCTTCGTCTGCCTTTCTCTTGTCCATTTGTATTGTTCATTGGTCCAGTACATCTTTCGATACTCGAGGTCCATTTTGGGGACGACTTGACGATTCTAGCCTTGAACACTATTTTGCACTTCCTGTATTTTCGGTTGCGGATGGCATCAGCACCGACCGAGGCCGGAAGTCCCCGAGGGGACTTGAATTTACGCTTCAACCTTCGTCACTGCCCGCCGCAAAGCCGAAGCTAGGGCAGGTTAGACGTAAGGAACCACGTTCGATCTCCGAAGACGAACCACGTTAACCCTAGATCAGCGCGCAAAGTGTTTCCTGCAGAGGGTGATTAGAAGTTACCGGGATTTGAGGTCCCATACGCCAAGTGGAGTAGCACAAGCGAACGCAGATTGACGTGACCGCTCCCCTAGAGAGCGCAGAAAGGGATGCCGACGCCAACCCATGACTCCCCACCGCTCAAACCGTCTTGGCATATTTGCTGCGGAGTTTACTGCGATACCAAAGTGATATCACGAAGAAGGTATAGCCCAGCGGAAGAAATTGGGAAAATAGGTAACACAAAAAAAGAGAGAAAGAGAGAGAGATAGAATTAGATAATCAAGTATTACCTTAGAATGTAGATGAACAAAAGAGACAAAGAATAGATGAATGTATCAGAACTGTGATGTATTTGCGGAGAGAGGGGAAGGGGAAGGAAGACCGGCAAAACGCGGTTTCCAAGAGAACGGCTCTCGAAAGACTGACCTCTGCACCAATAATACATTCTTTGTATACCGCTGAGTACCCCCTCCCTCCCGCTCGAGAACTCCTTGGCAGAAGTGATGCCCCCCTTTGACAGGTTTGTCAATTACAACTCGTACAGGGTTCGTCAACGATGCTCTGGAGTGACGATGCGGTGACTGATCGGTGCACGGCAATTGTTCGCATTTCAGGATATCGCTGACGCTCCCTGTAATGCTCCTAAAGCCTACGTTTCATTAGCACAGCAGGGCTCTAAGTGCGTCTCTCTCGCACGCATACGGATTATTACACTTTTTCTACTACCTATAACTATACTACCTTTAACTTATAACTATACTACCTATAAATGTTTTGAAAAACTCACAAAAATGGTGTGTGCCCTGTACCTGCTACGCACTAATATTGAATTTAAAAGAAAACTATGAAGGTACAAACGATGGAACGCAGTGGAGATATACTAGAGACTATACTCTTTCGAAGGGGACTGATTGGAAAGAGGTACAAACGATACTTTCTTGAAGAACTTCAAAAATTGGTGTCTGAGCGTTGTACATGCTACGCACTTAACTAGAATTTCTATAGTTCCAGATAGATTTTAACAACAGTTCTGCTACGTAACATCGTTAAAATACCTATTAAGCATACTAGTCGCACCATATGCTTCAGTGCAGGTATGCATAAGGAGCTGGCTTTCAGTGTTGTTTTCAGGTTGTGTTTCAAACAGTTCCGGAATAATTCAATAAAATATTTGATCTGTGTCCGTACGCAGATATTGATCCAAGCATTTAACTTATTGACTACACGGAATGAAACGTAATGTACTGATTAATTACGCATCCAACTAACAGTTACTAGAAAGCATCTAATGTTGTAACCAGAGTCGCTTTAGTTTACAAATATTTATTTATAGAAAGGCAAAATAATATAAATAAAAATAATATAAACAAAAAATAGAAATATGATACTTATTTCACATTCAACATAAACATGAATCTTCGGTAGTATAGTGGTCAGTATCCCCGCCTGTCACGCGGGAGACCGGGGTTCGATTCCCCGCCGGAGAGAATTTTTTTTTTAAATATAGTTTTTTCAAACATAATTGTCTAAACAATTTAGAAACTTTTTCTACACTTTTTAAAGTTGTGGACTAAAATTTATCAATATGAAAGCAACGAAGTAAAACTAGGATTGAAGGATACAAGAATATGTAATGTGCTTGTAGAAACCAGGTTATTTATTTACTGTGCAAAAAGTACGTACTAGTATAAATATTAAAAAATATTTTTTTAGTAGGTCACTTCATTCACTTACATTTGTTTCATTAAAATCTTGGGTTGAATCATCTGAAGACAATAGAATTTCGGAACTCCGAGGAGAGGATGCAGCTGTAGTCGAAGCGTGCCTGGAATGAGATTCTGTGGGGGAATACGGAAAAGAAATGTTCAGAGAGCCAGGGGCGACACCACATGATGCAGGATATATACTACGTGGCTGAAAAGATGAAGGAGCCGCCTGCTGTACAAGAAAATTCTGTTGGGCAGGAAAAGGCTGCTGAAATTGAGAACTGTGTTGTGTAGGGAATAATGTACTGGTAGCAGTATGCGTGATACAACTGTGCCTAATTCTTTGAAGAATATTCAATACTTCACTCCTAAATTGGAGCTTTCGATCCTCGTCTAATTTTCTAACTATGGGAAGCAAACATTCAAAGAAAGAACGGTCTTGATCTTCCGGTTCTGGGGTGATTGGTGTGTTTATGAATTTGAGAAGAGCACTTTTAAATTGTCTGCGACGTTTAGCTGTACTTTTCTTACTCTCTGTAGGCTTTCTGCATGCAAAAGTGGATACTGAATTGGGAGATGCAGCAGAGGATGTTGCGGACGCCTCTTTTTGAAAACGCTCTTCTTTATCATCAGAAGAGTTCGGAAGGTCCCCGCTTGATGTTTTCTTGTCCATAGTTAACTGAGTAGTAGCTAAATCCGTAGAGTGTTGCAAAAAAGACAGCTGCTTCGCATAAATATATTGGCGTCCTGATACTGTTGCTTCGCCAGATTTTGTCCTCTTTCGAATGCTTTTCCCATAATTATCCTTGAGATTCTTCCACTTGGTCATAGACTTCTTCACTTAAAAAAAAAAGATTTCTTTTTTAATAATGTTACAGAATCTCGGAAGCGGATGCAATCTGATAGATATTCACTATTCGTACCGGCTTGGACATTCGGCGTTGTACAAAATAGTTAGGAAAGTGTGCTGTACGATTTGACTAATTTTAAAAGAAGAATGTTTTCCCGCATTTACAGTTGAAAGGTGGCTTCAGATTTCCTCCATCTTTGAAAAAAAAACGCTAACTTTCCTCATTGCCTTGGCGCCCTCGATGGGAAACACGTTAGAATAGTTAAATCAATCAAAAGCGGATTTTTGTATTTCAACTATAAAAAATTCTTTTCCATTGCTATTTTTGGAATAGTGGACGCTAACTATAATTTCATTTACATACACGTAGGATCGTTTGGTAACGAAGAGGACAGTACTATATTTGAATTCTCCAGTTTACACAAGAAATTAATGGATAATTCACTGAACATCCCCAAAAGCAAGCCACTTCCCAACACTGATGATCCAAATACGCCTTACGTATTTATAGGAGACGAAGCATTTGGACTATCTGAACACATTACGCGGCTTTACAAAGGAAAAACATTGACCAAGTCGAAGAGATTTTTTAATTATCGCTTTACTCGCTAAGTAATTAAGTAGTTAAAATTATAATAGATGGAAGTAAATAAAACAATACTTACGCATATTATCCTTCTCGATTTCCGATTTTTCATTATAATTCTCATAGATTGCTTCGCACACGGAACTCCATGCTGCTTGCCTTTTATTCTTATCGTGGTGTTCTTCAATAGAAATATTCCAAATTTCCGGATACTTTTGTATTTCGTTAATAAACAATTCTGTGTCTATTTCACCCATCTTCAGTCTTGACTGTGGTTACAACGCAGCAGATAAATGCAATGTACGCAAAAACACGTGTGCATAGCCACATTCGTTGTTGAGTACTGCGTCACTGACGCCGCCGCGCGTCGGACGCGCGGCAAGGCAATAACGGCGTCCGTACCGGTAAATGACGTGTTGGCGCATCGGCAAGGCGTCACGCGAGCATTACACCATTCTCTCAAAACACGCTGTGGACGCAGCGTCCAATGTCTTCGCGTCCATTTACCACTCGTGTGCTCCAGCGGGAATCAGCAAAACTCTGCGAAACGTGTGATTTGGAGGCTAGCCGTATAGGTCCGGTCGCATATAAGCCCATGTTCTCGTTGTTATCCGAAAAAGGAGAATCCATGTTTTAACCTTTCACATTATTTTGTTTGTTAAATTTATTAAAACACCAACATTAATCCACTTTCAAAAGAAGGGAAGCGAACTTAATTTCACCCTGCACAAACACATCAGAGATCCCTACTCCCCTGGCCTGGACCTAACCTGACCCTTTTAATAATAGACATAGAAAAAGAGTTTAACTCACCAATTGGAATAGTAAACTCAAGTATGCTAAGAAAGTTTGCGCTAATAAGTTCATTGTAAAAAATACTACAACGCTAACTAATAATATTTTTACCCTGCCACATAGTTAAGAATATCGTCTTTTTTCTCAGTGTAGGGTAAACGGCTCAGTTACTGACCTTATCCCAGCTTGTAATCCCGATGGCATAATTTTGACTGCCATACATACAGTTTTTGTAGAATAATAATTCAATTACCGACTAATTACAAAGCGTTTTTTACTTTAATGACTGGAGAAACACACTGTTTTAAATGAAACACATATTTTAGAATAGAAATTGACCGGTGAATAGTGCGACACGCGTTTTAGTGGCTCCGCAGCGGCAGTGCTAAATGATGACAGTAGTTGGGACAAGGTACGTCATTTTGAATTTTGTTCGTCGTGTAAGTATAAACACATAAAAATAGTGTTAACATCTTCAGCAGGAACTAGACTATCGATGAGATAAGAAATTATTTAACTTTTGGTTAGATACTTGTGCGAATTCGCGGGGTCAATAAGTGCGTCACATAATTTAGGTTATATTGCTGTTGTTGACACTCGATTTGTCACCTGTTGCATCGAAGAATTTGCTTTGTTTATTTATTGTAATTTGCCGTGACATAACAAATTAAAGAAAACGATTTTAGTTTTCATGAAAGGAAGAACCGGGAAAAATTTTACAACAATGAGACATTAAAGTTTCCGGAAATATATATAATATTTAAAATATTTTCTCACTTAATGCTGCTGATATGTTTTTTTATTGTTTACTGTTTATAGTATATATTTTAATAATGCATTGTAAATAATCCACCTCGAAAGACTGTGTCGAAGAGGTAAAGGAAACTGCAGTGATAGCAGCCTTGGCAATTACATCAAAAACTCTATCCCAAGGGTATGACATGCTTTTTTCTATAATACAGATAGTTTGACAATAGGATTAATTCTAATATCTATTATTGTGTTCTTCATGCTACGTATTTTTAGGTGAAAATCAACCTCCGCTTCTAATGATAAGATTGAAGAGACAATGGAGACTGCGGAGTCAGCTGATTCATTGATTCCATTGAAAGTTTCAGTGGAAGGGTATAAAATACTTTTTTTCACTACGGATAGCTTTTTCAATAAGAAAGTTTAAAATATGTATTATTGTGTCCTTTATTCTACGTATTTTAGGCATAACAAAAAAATTATTTGGAAAAAGTGCATCAAAGAAGTGATAGGGACTACAGAAACTGCAGACTCATCTGTCATTTCACGGAGTACTTTGAAAAGGTACAATATACATTTCATTTTTCCTATAGGTCGCTTTTTCAAAGTAAGTAATTATATTGTATTATAAAATATAAATACCAATATATCCATTTTTTATCTAATTAGGAAAAGGACAAATGTTGAACGGAGATACACAAATGCTGATCTCGAGAAAGCTTTAGACGCGGTTAAAACGGGAATGCCTCTAAAAAGAGCATCAAATCTTTACAAGATTCCGAGGACGACATTGCTTTACAAGAAGCGTGGTACATTACCACCTGTACTGACATCTCCTGGACCTAAATGCATACTTGGCGAAGAAAATGAACGCAAGCTCGTTGAGTGGATTTTGCACATGAATCAAAGCGGCTTCCCTCTAACTCGGGTCCAATTATTGGATAGTGTTCAACTGCTTATAAAGCATCTAAAGATCAAGACTCATTTTAAGGATAATCGCCCTGGGAGACATTGGTACAAAGCATTTAAGAATCGTAACCGGGAAATAGCTGAAAAAGTTACCCAAAATTTGACGCGCAATCAAGCTGATTTAAGTGATAAAAAGCTGCGAGGGTGGTTCTGCGAGGTACAGAAGTATTTTCAGTCGAATTCACTTCTTAATATTGATGCTTCTCGCGTATTTAATTGCGACGAGTCGGCTTTTTTTTTAAGTCCAAACGATGGCTCGGTATTGACCAAAAAAGGTGATAAAACGGTGTACAATTTCATTAAAAATCATGAAAAAGAGTGCTTGACCACACTCATCTGTGGAAGTGCGAGCGGGGAACTCGCGCCACCGATGGTACATTTTCCTTACAAACGGATTCCCGGATATGTCGCTGCACGAATGCCAAGAGACTGGGCCATCAGTCACTCGGACAGTGGGTGGATGACTGGGGAAACATTTTTCGAGTATGTCGCGAACGTTTTTTACCGATGGTTGCTGAAGATTAAAGTCGTGTTCCCAGTCGTACTCTTTGTAGACTGGCATACTTCGCATTTGACCATGGCGTTAAGCGATTTTTGTAGAGAAAAAGGCATTAAGCTCGTGTCGCTATACCCAAATGCAAGTCACATCTTACAGCCGATCGACGTCGCATTTTTTCATTCTCTCAAGGGAATATGGGGGAATGTAGTTCGTAATTGGCGACTAGAAAATAACGATCAACGTTTAAGACGAGAAGACTTTGCACCGCTTCTTCAAAAAGCTATCGACACTCTCGACACAAAAAGTATTCTCAAAAGTGGTTTCAGAACAACTGGGCTCTACCCTTTTTCAGCGGATAGAATTGACTACCAGAACATTTTTACGAACTACGATAGCTCCGAAAAGATCCCTCCGGTGACTGAAACCGAAGGATCTCGGTATAAAGAATTGTTAGAGTATGTTGAAAATAACATCGAAACCGAAGTGCTGGAGATGTTCAGAGACGTCAAAGAGGGAGCAGAATGGAGTGGCGATCTGGCACATCAAAGTTTATTCTACTTGTGGCGAAAAATTAAGGATATTAGTATCAATGCCAGCGAAGTCAGTCCCGCCATTTCAGCCGACAGCGTTGTTCAAGAGGGACACGTAGATGACAAAAATGGAGTTTCGGTATTTTAACGCAATATTTTTCTTTGTTAATTCTTTATCATCTGATATATTACTTGACTGTGTTTTATTAGTCATGGAAAAACTCAATTTTCAGTAGTTTCAAACATCAATTGCTATTGTCAGTATGAAATTTTTTGTACATAATTACTTTTTACATTTAATTTATCTCAAGGGATTTTTTATGACAATGCCAGCTTATCAATTTTTATAATTTTTTATATATTTATATATTTAAATTATAATTTTCTATTTATAGAAAATCCTTTTTCTATTTATAGAAAATTATAATTTACTGTGAAATTAGATTTACAGTGAATATGCAACGGGTAAGGTGAAACAAGAAAAAGGAAACCATGAAAACCTAAACGTGATAAATATGGCTGAGTTCCTTCCAGTTGGAGATAATGTTTTGAATATCCGAGACGAGATTTCGCATAATCTTTCAGCAGTCGACGCAGATTGTAAAACTATTGATACTACTCTCTACGAGATCGACGCACCTGGAACGTTAGTATCGTTCGAAAATATCAACGAAAATCCACAAGAAGGGACGAAGCAGATAAAATTGGAACATCAATCCACTGACGAAGGGCCGACGGAGCTTATAGAATTGCGAAGTCAATGCATTGACGAAAAGCCGAAAAAACCGACTTCTCCGAACCCATCGACGCCAAATTCGTAAGTTGATATTCCTCCCGGTATTCTTTCGCCATTTAAACGAGTTTTTCTTTAGCTTCCCAAAAAGGAGGAGTTTCCGAAAAATAAATCAAGCAAAACGTAAAGTGCCAGCAATACTTACATCCGACGAATGAATAGAATATGCCAAGCCGAAAGATGAGAAAAAACATACAGAAGAAGAGAAAAAAGGCAAAAATGAAGAACTTTTGAGAAAAGCCCATCTGAAAAAGAAGTCAAAAAGAAAGAGACAAAAACCCGACAGCAATCTCGATAACCATTTTTTGTTTTCTTTATAAATTTGTTTACACATTTAACGAAAATAAATTACTCGTGTACTAATTAAAAATTTTTTATTGTTTGTACCTAATGTGTGTCCGTGAAATTACGTAAACTGCAATTTAACCCGTTTGCATGGGGATATTCGGAAATATGAGAAAGTGGGTACTTAAGTACGCTCTTGTGTGAGTCACTAAATGGGCCGTTTACCCTATACTGCATATCAAAACAGCAGATCGTGGTAATGGGGGATTTTTAATCTGTTTACACCTTCCAACCACAATGACGAGTATCAAGAATCATGTTCCACTATTAAAAAAATGTTACCCTTCCTGGAATTTCCCTTATTGATATTTTCCCTGCAGATGAGGATTCTACTGATGAAGAAAACACAACTGAATTCATGTCTGTCTATCCTTAAGTGATTCACAATACATTCTCTTATACATACTTTTTCTACAGAATTTTGACTGGTCTCCTTGACCATCGTTTATGTTCTGAAATACCATGAAGGCTATAGTTTTAAACTTTGTTCATTAAGACTTTTTGTTAGTACTAGCTGATATTGGTCTTATTACTGTACGCTTAGGGTGCAAAATAGCATATTATTTTTTATATAGAAAGTTAGGTCATTTTCATCAGTTTCAAGTAAAATGTACAATAACGAAACAATAAAAAGAACAAATACTTTTATCATTTAGTAACTTCACCATCCAACCCAAAAAAACCTATCCAATTTAGCCATTTATACTGTATACATACCTCCTTAAATTGTTGAAATTTGTTTGCAATTCAAATAAATTGTCATCTAAATATGACAATTATACGGAAGTACACCGCAGTATATTCACATATATATTTTTGTTCACGTATATTACAAATGGAGTGGAAATTTATAAGTAGATTTCGTTCAAAACACATTTGTGTTTTTTTTTGTAACTTGAAATTCCATAACACAAAATTAGACTTAATTGAATGAAGAGTCTTATTTTACAATCAATATGCAATCATACTAATTTCTTAGCTTCAAAGAAACTCTTGAGATGTTTCATCTGCCAAGCACCCATAACCAATAAAATCACTGTTTGAGTCAGAGACCACCACAGAACACGTTGGTTGGTGCTCTCAGATGTTTGTCTGAATCTTTCTTCACGATACTGAAACACAAGATATTAACATAACGCGTTTTTTCAATCATATTTACATTTTTTTCAATAATTGTACAAAAATTACCCTCTGATAATTCTGTTCCTTGGTAATTTGTTCTACTTGATCAAGAAGTTGACGAATCCTTAACTGTAGTTCAGAAAGTTTTTCCTTTTGTGCAACATTGGCATAATCAATTGCATGTTCACCAACTTGTATATCTAAATGTACTCTCTGAAAGAATATTATTCCCCATAATGTTTGTATTAAAAAGAACACGTAACTGTAAAAAAAATACAAATTTGTACAAAATACGCTAAATAATTCTTACCAGCTGTGAACCACTGAACCACGCAGTACTATTTGAATATAGACAAATTACATGCTCTCCAGGAGTATTTGATGTAAAAGACATGCGTCCCTCAGAACTATACACTTTGGAAAGCATTAATTTGTCATCAGGATCTCTGACTTCCACATGCATGCCAATACCAGGACTACTTGGCATAAATCCACCACTTCTTGGATCATACAGCTCCACTTTATAGTTAACTATAAAAAAGGTTAGAAATACCTATATTTATAGTCACAGTGTACCAAATGAGAATGAGACAATAAAAACGTTCTTTGAATGCAACTAACGATTTAAAACGTGGAAATATTACCTAAAACTGTAGTTTCATCTGGGATTTCTTCAATGAAGCATTTTCGTTCTGTCTCGCCAATATGAAAGTAGAGAGCGGTGGTGCACTGTAGTAACGCGCACAGAGCAATAAATACACCAACGTGCAACGACATATTAAGTTTAATTCAATAAATTCTCAGAGAGATAATACGAATGTGAATATAAAGTTGCAGTGAACGAGGAGAAAAGTAAGTACTGACAGAGCAAACACGTCACCGTCCTCAACCATTGAGTACAAGACTACTGGCGCCACCATGGCTCAACTTCTTTGCTATTATTATACGTAACCTTAAAATCTAAAGTCAAATCGTGAAGTCCAAATAAAAATGGATCCCACATTATTGGTTTCTATTGCAGTGGTACTTGTTATCCTAATTATTAGTTTATCCTTCCTATCTCGTAGGAAATCAGGTACGTAATAGACGTAGTACGCAACATAACAATAGTTTTCACTATGTTTATCTTTCCTTTCTTGTCAGACATTTAACAGCTGTTTTAACATCAGTTTTTAATTTTATATAATATTTATAGATGAATCAAAAACAGCTTGTGAGGTTCAAGGACCTGCAGTACGTGGACAGCCAGTTAGGCGAGCTGCAGGAGTGAGAAATGCTCGTAGAAGAATGCGTGGAGATGTAGCTCCACAGGCAGAAAGAGATGTAGCGAATGTATCTGACGAAGAGAGTAATGATGAAGCAACTGAACGAGTTGAGTTTCCTGATAATAAAGTTGGTGCAAAGAAACGAGCAAAGTTGGAAGCAAAGGCTGAGAAAAAAGCACATAGAGAAGCAGCAGAGCGTGAAAGAGAAGATCGCCGGAAAAGGGAACAGTTACTTCAGGAAGAAAGAGACAAACTCACTGAAAAAGAACGAGCAGAAGAACAACGCCAAGAGGAAATTGAAAGAAAAGAGAGGGAAGAAAAGGCAAAGAGAGAATATGAAGAATACCTCAAAATGAAAGAAGCATTCAGTGTTGAGGAGGAAGGTTATGACGAATGTGATGAGGAGGAACAGAAAAATCTGTTACAAGAATTTCTTGCATACATTAAGAGAAACAAAGTAGTTGTTTTGGAGGATCTTGCGGCACACTTTGGTTTGAGAACAGTAAATGTTATCGAAAGAATTCAAGATCTGCAGACAGAAGGGAATTTGACAGGAGTAATAGATGACCGAGGAAAGTTCATTTATATTTCTCATGATGAACTCGAAGCAGTTGCAAAATTTGTACGGCAACGTGGTAGAGTCAGTATTACTGAGCTTGCAGAAAATTCAAATCGCCTGATTAACTTAAATTCTGGAAATGATTGTCGCAATACTGTGGAGGCTCGTTAAAACTTTATAATCAGGTCAAACAGAATGGCTGGGTATGCAATTTATCTGCTTTGTAAGGAAGGTGCCGACGGTCCACTTCTCAACATACTACACCAATTGAGAATATGAATAATGTGGACAATAAGGGACTTTCTAATTTGGCTATACAGAACTTTTCTACGTTTCTACGTGTCACAAATAAAAACGTAATACCTCCAACTTCCACCAGACTGTTGGTTTGTCCCAGTCGTCAGCTAGCTTAGGGAGAAAGGAGCTATAAATAATCGTAATATCCTACATTGGGACAATTCAAATATGTTCATACATTTTTATATAGAAAGATATTAATTTAAATACCTCGAAAAATGTAATAGAATTTACAATAAATCGTATGTATAATATATAATACCACAATGCGTCACATTTCCCTTAATTATAATATTTATAATGTAGTGGAAATTCATAAAATTAATAAACAGCTTTTATACGTATTAATTATGTATAAAAGTCATACGATAGTTCCAGTTGCTCATTTAAAATTCTTGATACAAAATTTCTAATCTAACTTAACACTACCCAGCAAACACCGTAACATTTACATATCGGCAATGTTAAAATATCTTACTCAGGGATACAACAGTTATATACATGAGATATTTTACAGCTATTACATAGTTGAATAGGACATTTCAACATTGCTGATAGGTAACTTGGTGTTTGTGTTTACTGGGTATGGTTAACGTTCAACGTCCCTACAGGACTTTTGAGATGATGAAGAGCACCTCACAGGATTGGTGACGTCTACGTGGCCAACAATTTGTTTCCTAATTAACATATAAATCAGCCTTTGGTTCTATGCCGTAAACTTCTGCCGTTCTTGGTGGACACTTTGGTTGGCAAAACATCGTGTAGCTCATAACGCAGCCCGGATGAACGAAGGTTCCAAGATACGAACACGTGATGAAACTCGAATCGATGTTGCATCAGATTCTAGTTTACCTTAACTACAAGATATACGATGATTCTTATTTCTCTGAACATGTAATTGATTTTTTGCAAAACGAAGCAGCACGAATCATGTTGAAGGAAGCTCAAGTTCAGAGGAATTTTGTTAGATAATTTCAAGAACGACGCTTTTTTCCTCCTCAAAACAGTTATTATTGTTCGTGCAACATCTTTCCTCAGCTATTCAAAGCGTTTCCCTTAATCTTTCACAAAATATCGACAGAGTATGAGCAGCTTAACCGAAATTCCACAGGAAAGAGGAACTATCATGAACTTGATTTTAGGTCCTACATGTATAATTTATCAGAATATTTTTTATCGAGTTTATAGAAAGAGGAATGACTGTGGTGAAGGAATTCCACGAGAGTTCCTAGTTGAAATCCCGTGGACGTAATAGCTTGTATATCTGGTTTGCCGGCCTCTACTAGGACCTTGTTTACCATTGAAAGTTGCGTTTTGGCTATTCGTTGCTTGAAGCTAAACGATCTCACGTATATCGGAAATATATTAACTAAGATAGGATGTATCGTGTAACTCCGGCGCTGCCCCCACCTGAATCGGATAACCGGAATGACGGTCGGACGATTGCGTTGAAGAGGGAGTGTACGAGATTCTGTAAAAGCTGGAGGATTTTGCGAAAGACTCGCAGTTCTCGAATGGGAATCGCATATCGCGCCATCACTAATTGAAAATCATTTTTAAAAGAATTTGAAATACCGTGCCCACGTTAGCATCGAAGGTTAAGAGAAGTCAAGAAAAAAATTATTTTTCAAAATTCGGTTAAGCGTGCAGTGTTTCGTGTCTGTGAAGTAGACTTATGTGTCCATGAGGTGCAAGGTCTTAGACTACCAAGGCAACTCCCCGACGTTCTTACTCAGTGTGAGGTGAGCACTCGACAGAAAAACAGGTTCCCAGCCCTTCGAAATTGGTCGTACCGACTGGAACAGCTGGAATCAGTTTACGTGTTCGTCGTTACCGGAAGCACAAAGTTTTCCTTTGTACCGGTAATACGAAACGAAGCACCCCGTGGCACCACCGTCGCGACAATTTAGTCTTCATTGAATCTTAGTAAAGCAGATGCCTAAAATTCACTTACCAATGAAACTCGCGAACATTTTTGGGCTCTTTAGTTCTGTAAACAATAACCCCAAAATATTTTCTTCATCCATAATGACGTATTTCATGGAAAAATCAAAAAGTTTCAAGATACGTGTACGCCCAGTTGGAATTATCAAGAATCCTTTACACCGCAATGTGCAGAAAAGCGTACGAAGTATTTTTAGCGAATAACAAATATCGTTTACCTTTCAGACTAGCAAAACATCTTAGAACGCGCAAAGACAGCCGTCGGGGCAACGCTGGAAATTGCCTGGAGCTTCTAGTACTAATGCACTTACACCACGTACCATAGAGTATGTATAACGTATACGCGTAATGAACAATTCCTGATGAAAAATGGACGAAAAATATTTCATAACCATCAGAGCCGTATCTCCAAAAAATAATAATCGAAATGTATTCTTTGTACGTAGAAGGGAAAAACATATAATCCGAAAAGCTCTGTGGAAGCAGCTAACGCAGTGCAGATCAATCGGCGTGTACAAAGTCTCAGCTGCTACTGAACCATTGTCCAATCGTCTTCCCACTTCAGGTGACATCGGCTACCTTTAAAAAACCAACACCCAAGCATTTGTCAGGAGTAACGCGTGTCCTAAATCAAAATGGTCCACAACAACCGTGACGGCGCCATAATCAAGGGGCCTTATCAGGAAATTAGGTAAAATAAAATTGGCATCCTCAGAATAAAAATATAGATTTGCAATAATATAATTTAATACATAATCATTTTTTCTTTATTTTCGTCCCTCACAGAAAGGAGAGGGAACAACAAACCTCTCAACAACCGCAAGAACGTCGTCCACAATCGGAACCCAAATCGGACAACAAATATGGCTCCTGGGGACCAGTTTACAAGAACAAAGAACATTTCGTCGGCATGCACATCTGTTAACCTAAAATTTTCGCCGATCTTTCCTTGAGTCACGTTAACAGCTTTCACATTATTTAATCGTTTAATAACGACCATGGGTATCGAAGTATATATATATTTAAAAGCTAGTAAAGAAAAAGAAAAAAAAAACGTCAAAGCGTGGAAGCATCGTACGTTTTAAAAATTTCTTAGCATCAGTGCATAAGTCTTAATTAAAAATCTTGAATAGGGTATGATTCTAAGATACTTTAAACTCGGCTTTGCGACTACTAACGTACTTCAAAAATGTGATATTGATTCTTGCAAACATCTTGCGAGCGAGATAACCTCTTGATGGAATAAACGAGCTAGTCATGTCATTGGCCGAGAATCTCTTGCGTCCTTCTTATGAAGACTTTTTAAAAGTCGGAAACCCCCAAGGAACGAAGAGGCCAATACGGCCAGTGTGATCCCGCATGGGAAATGCGAGAAACAATAGCACATAGTATATGCATAAATGCGATTGACAATGGTTCAGTAATTAAAAATATTCTATGTCTTCCCTTATATCGGAAGGATCCTTGCTTTTGCCTCTAACTTATTTTCAAACATATGTATATGCTTTTTAACGAAAATATTCGGGGCTTCTTTGATGGATAATTGGTAAGATCGTATCTACACCGCATACGGTATATATCCAGACAATAAATATATATATATATATAAGATCGATTAAAAGGGTGTAACGTTATAAAATAAAGGTGACAGTTACGGTATATTGTCGTTACACGGTGATTGATAATGCACGACCCAACGGTCCGTAGTTCAAGACGCCTAGACGTCCTCGGCCCCTCTTGGGGTAATAAACTTTCTTCCTGTGCAGGGCACGTGCGAGAAAAAATCTCGTTGAAGTAAAGGAACGACAAAAAGTCTCATTTTGGAGGGTGGTTCCGCCGGATATGCCGCAGGGGGCAAAAAGGGAGTCGAGCGTGCATCAGGGCGAAGGGTTAATGGAGGAAAAGAAGGGTCCAAGAGGTTGTTGACCCCAGTGCCTAGATAGTAACAGTAATCGGCATGACACGCCCTTTTCGTTACCTCCTGTTTTAATGCAGAAGACAGAAAGTATTTTGGCCAAATTCTCTATATCGAGAAACTGAGAAACTTATAGAGACAGAGGGCGATCGTGAGATACGTAAAAAAAATCTGGAACATCCGTTGAGGCTTCCTTGTCGTAACGACAAGTCTGCCTAATTTATTCGATTTCCAAGTTTTCCAAGTTTGCGTGTCCAATTCCTCGAAATCTTGATAAAGGTTCCTCCTATCGTTGGTTTTGTCATTTTAGTGAAAATGAGGAAAATGACAAAAAAAATTTTCCTCGCGTCGTTAGTCGTACGAGTCGTCGGCTACCAGGCGGAGCTGAGCGGTTGACGAAGTGCAAGGGGAACGTCACGAGGCGGCTGCAGTTACTTTACATTAGAACGAAGAAGTAGAAGGACGCGAAAGGAGAAGTAGGGAAGGAAGCTGGAGCTTTCACGAGACGCGGGGAGTCTTGTGGTAGGAGCTTTGCTCCCCGATGACTTCCTTGGGAGTGTTCGCAGTCTGCTAGAGTCCGTCGGCGCGTCCGGGCCGCACACTCCGACGCTCCGCGGACTTGGGAAAGGAATCTGGCTCAGAGACAAAATTCGAAAAATTCGTATTAGTTATTTATTTATTTATTTCCTTATTTATTATCCGCGAGGCTCCCGCGAGACTAGTTATTATTTATTCGTAAAAGCGGCCACGCTTCAATTTCATAACCTCGTCTGCCCGATAATTCAGTTCGCGGAGAACCGGCGATCCGCCGAATAATCACTCGTCTGGCCTGTGCTTTGATACCGGAGTGCGATATCAGTGCGACGTTCCAGGTGAAGTGCCGACGGAAGAAGGCAAAGGGAAAAAGTGAGAGCGTTCCGGGGATTCAGATTTTAAAAAAAAATATCGAAACGGAACGTCGCCAGGAACGTGAGACCACGCTATTTCGAGGGCAAACTCAACGGTAAGCTTATATATATATGTATATATATATATATATATGTATATATGTCCTCTTGTTTCGATTCCTTTTTTTTCGGAATCGCATACCAAAGCGTCGTCTCGAGACGCGATTATATTCTGTTAAGGACCGCGACTCGAGTTTCCCAGTATGCTGTAATAATGACCTATCGTATAAGATCTGTAACGAGTAGCGCTATTACTCTTAACGGTACCAACACCAACTCTTAAAAATCTCAATAATCAACATCGTGGGAACAGTCCTTAGATAGTCTCGAAGAACCGGTAGGCCTATTACAAGAAGAATATTTATTGAGTCAAATTCATCCCAGAGTAAAGGACAAATTGATTTGATGACATGGAATCTCGACCGGATGCCGGATGCGTTAATGACGTTTGAACTTGCACTTATTTATAACGGGACGTACGGAGACTTAGGACTGTAAGGTTATTACCACCGTATAGAGTACTGGAGTAAAGTAAACTTTAATTAGTAAATTTTTCGATACGCCGTCAAATCAATGTATTCAGTACTTCTGTCTTGTATCAACAAGAACTTTACTTTCGATTGAAAAAATTAAGTGCTCAGAGTGAATTTAATGACACTGAAAAGTCAAATTACCGACAGCTTTCTGTAGTAATTACGAGATAAAAGAGCCGTCGGTACGTATATAAATATACATAGAAAATTAATTCAAATTAGCATATGAAAGTGACGAATAAAGTCTCTCAATTGACTAGTACGCATCGACAGAATTTCCTTAATGAAAGGAAGTAGTGACAGCTTTTACTAGCCAGACGCGGCTTGACCTTTTCCTATGGGATCTATTAAGAGCAACTGCTATCGTGTGCGATACTCGTTTAGTATCCATATCGAATTCTATACAGCTAGTATCTTGGAAATCTTAACCGGAAATAGAGCTTCCTTCTCCGACCAAAAAATCCTCGGCTTACGGGCGTAGTCCTCGTCTATATCTCGATGTACCCTCCACGTCCCGGTTTGGCTCTGCCTTTACTACACCGTGCCACCCAAAGCAATACCGTCCCTCGTCGTATCCATAGGTGAACCAAGAAGGGCTGCTATTTTTGACTCCATCCGACAGTCACTCGTCGCCGCGACTGCCACCCTCTGCAAACAGCTTACATACTTTTCATTCTCCTCATCGCCGCGAACGTGCCCACCCTCGGCTCGTGCCACTACGCACGCTGCCGGTTAGCCCAGCGTGGGCGTATGCGTTGATGTGGATGTGGCTTGCCACGCGGCAATACTCTGACCCTGCATTGAGAATTAGTGCAGGGTGCCAGTGACAGTTTCGCTTGGGGAGATCAGCTTGGGTTCGTTCAACTCTGGGGATGAAGTTTGAGGGGACCCTCCCCCGCGAGGGAACCCTGGGGATTCTCCTGACACCTAAAGGAAAACCTAACCTCTACGCGTCTACGGGTAAAGGAAATGTTAAGGAATTCTCTTACCGGGGATCCCTATAGGATTTCGATATTTATTCTGCTGGAAGAGCCTTTAAAAGCTCGTGCGAAAGTGGATCACCGAATGAAACGGATGCGAGTCGTATCCTGTCGAACTATCCCACGTTTGTTTGTTCTTTTCCTCTGTACTCATTTACATTGCTCTGTAAATTATTTCATTGTCCGAGCTCCACGGCTTAATTGCCTTTTGTCGTATTGGCTGTAGCGTAGATTTTACGCGAAGACTCGTCCGACTCTTCACGCAGTTGGCTCAGGTGTAAGATAGACGCCATTGGCATGGTTGAGACTGAAAAAGCGTAGCAGCCGTGGCACCGTCTCCTCTTTCGCCACTCGGCTGTGGAACGACGATGACAAAAAATAAAAGATAAGACAAAGCGACCCGCCGGCATAGCACGCAGCAGGAGAATCCATCCCAGGAATAGACGAGTTCTTTTTCTTCGTTTCCTTCCGCCGAGTAATTATCGGTAGAGCCGGTCCCTCGTTCGGTCAACTGCCAAAACTTAGAATTCGCTCCCTACCGCATAGACGTTCCACCTACCGGAAATGGAGGAGAACTAAACTATTCTCGTACAAGTAGAATCCTTTAGCATCCGCTGTGAAGTTCATGGTAAATTGATTGTATCGATCGCCGATAAGGCTGTTCACTCTCTGTCTGTCTCTCTCTCTCTCTTGTGCACGCAGTTCGTAAACTCCCCGAAGAATAACGGTGTCTACCGCCGTGCTGTCGGGACGGCGACAGTCGCTATGCTGAAAATAGAACGTTCTACCACCTCAAGAAGAGAACTTTCGTTGGAACCTCTTTGTAGATTCTCTCTCCCTTTTCATCGTACAAGGCGATGTCTGAATCTCTCGCGTTCCACGAGCTCGATCGATGCCAAAGATCGTTCCCAGCTGTCGATCTTCTCCAGATGAGACCCGACTTCTCCATTTTACTGGCACGTTCACCCACCCCGAGGGCGTGCGCTGCTGAAATTTCGAAGAAGACGAATACAGACACAAGGTTAGGGTGGCTCCTTGAGAGTGATCCTGAGGGAACGGAGAACCCCAGCCCCTCGCATATGTCGAACACACGAGGGAGCCAGGAAAGCCCGAGACAAGCGTATGCGACTATTTGGAAGAAACGAGGAACAAATAAACCGAGCTGGATGCCAGCCAAGGGTGCTTTGACCCTATCCGCTGCCGACTACCGGCTTACCCCCCATAGTCACGAACTTTAGGACTTGTGAGAAGCGCCAGCCGCGATTTATTTCGTCCGGTAATGACACGAATGCATTTCAGTCAGTTATTTTCAAATTGAAAGCCGTTTACGGTTTCGCTTGATGAAAACTAGACCATAGACGGAGTCGATACGGAAGAGAAGCTTTTTTCTTCTATAAAAATCTGCATTACCAGAGGAAAGTCATTGAATCACTATATTTGGCCCCGTGACTCACTCACTCGACTGGTAGGGATGTGCGAGCTTTGTTTGAAATTTAGCGGAGGTAGAACTGTCTGCCGAGAGTACCGAGTACATACGCACACATTCCCGTGTCTGCATTACGTTCTCCTTGCTTGATGATAGTATCTTGATGATTAACGCGGACAGAATGTTTTTCACTGATAATTTTGTTGATTGTTGCAGCGCGAATGCACGAGGATATATATAATTGCCTGGGGCTGTAAAAAGAAAAGATCATGAGAACCAGAGACTCCATCGTTTACACTCCCGTGTCGCTGGGACCGGACACCGACGACGAGGAGACTTTAGTAAATGCCGAAGTATATAATAACGGTAAGTTATTAAAAAGCTTCATTAACAATGTACTACAATAGTTATTACATGCACAATTTTATTATCGTTTGTGGCATTAGCCAGTAAACTATATAAATTTCAAATATCATTGTCGTCGGAGTAAAAAGCATTGAAGACCCTTATGAGCTGCCGTGCGTCGCTGTTTTACCGACGGAGTATTAAGTGTCTAAAAAGTAATACATGATCAAAATAAACAAAGCAAAAAACAAACATATTTTAATTTAATAAACAAACATATTTTAACGGATCAAACATGAATCAGTCTCATCGTAATCTCTCTTCAAGGACGCAAATATCATTTAACAATGTGACTTCTATCATCAGTCACTGGTTCCGTACTAATCTAATCGCGAATACGAGCTTCTTTGTATTTCAGTATACACAATATATCGCACGAGCATTATACAGGGATTATGAGATGTAGTCGTACGAGAGGCGCCAGTTGATATCCCATTGCGGCGAGTTAACAAAGCCGCAGCCGATTAAAAATCGTTCGACGATTCGTATAGGAGTAACACGTACGTCTTGAACCGTTATCCGATTATAATTCTTAACTATCGCAAGTATTAACAACGAACGAGTAAAGTCGTTCTTCCTGTAAAATAATGATAATAAAAAGCATAGAATAGAGAGAGACAAAGCGAGCCTCTCGGAAGACCATCTCGAGGCCCCACGAGTATAGGTATACCCGATAAGTTTTATCAGAGCTGGCGCCGTCTGGACATTCTATTAATTTCCCAATCGGTCTCCTCTTACGTATACGTAAATCCCTTTAGCGTCCGTCTATTCCGATCGATGATCCCTCGTGGAGGATTGATAGCCGGAAGGAACGTAAATTCGTTAGGTTAATCCGGCGCTAACGAGGACCCCGCTCACGTGACTCTTGTCTCGCATAAAGGCAAACGTCCTCGAATGTCTCCAAGTAAGAGGGATAGGCCATACTATTTGTATACCATAGCATGGAAGCCAAAGCGAGCATCAACGTCCAACGTAATCTCTTTAAAGGGATCAGAGATTACGGTGCCATGCGGGACACGTAGTTGACGTGCGGCACGTACGCTTAGGTAAAACGTAGCTGCCCTTCGGCGCCCTGAGAGATTCAGTATCTTGACCACGTATGTTTTCCTCCATGAGCAAAAAATGGAAATGCAAGTAGATGTTAATCGGTGAGTTCGTAAATTATTTTTTACAATATATTACTCTCTCTCTCTCTCTGTCTGTCTCTCTCACTCTCTATACAATATATGTATATATGAAATATTTATATACAACTAGTCACGTCATAACCTGTTACATGATTTTCTACCTCCAGAAAATGGTATTTGCCACAGCCAAGAAAAGCGACACTGGGTTCGTTAACTTAGCTGAGGTTATGTCGGCAAGCAGCTTCTCACTGTACGCAATATGCGTATGGAACGTGTCCACAGATACGATGTAGAAAGAGCGAGGCATTCGCGATCGAAGCGTATCAAGCCGTGAATGAAAGAAGGAATGAACGAATGAATGAACGAACGAGTCGACGAATGTCCCAGGGTAGGGATAGAGATACGTGGGAGCTGCGTGGGCGATCGAAGCGCGTATCTTGTACATAGCACGTACGTACGTATCGTCATGCTGCCTATACATTTAATCCAGGGTGTATCGGAGTTAACACGAGTGCATTTACGTGAGCCGAGGACCATTCAGGATAGTCATGACACGCGGGACACGGACCGACTTAATTCGTTCACGTACGAACTCGTAACTCGTCCTGCTGATCTCCACTGTCTCCTAGCAGTTGGTCAGGAGGGCGCGTTTGCCAATGTTTTTCTTTCTGTTTTACGCGAGCGTATTCCGTATTCCGAGTCACGTGGGCGAACTAGACTTCTGTACGTAATAAGCGCACGTTGTGCGCATGCGCGTACCAGGCAGTCGTTAGCTTCGAATCCGCACGAACGTCTAATAACGATGAATCGACTTTCCTCTTTGGACGCCGTAATAAATTGCAGTTAACGGTTTTCTGGCTTCCGTGTGAATTTTGTTTGGTTATAACGCGCATAGGTGGTCCCGCGTGATACGTATCACGATCCTGTTTAGTGTTTATAGGGTTCAAGTGGACGAGAGGAATGCCGGGTATTCGGCAGCCGAAAATGAATCCCCAGTGTTGTTTGGAGGACTACATCGGTGTCCTTGAAACGCGCGGAACGGATTTGTAAGCTTCTCATTGGATGAGAGATACGATACGGACGGGGGAGATGGCGTTTCTATGTGCACGTGAAGATTCCAGAGAGTCTACGGGGCCCTGGGACCTACTACCTGCCGGATGACGTGGCTCCTACGAAATCCAAGGGCCTTACGAAACGGCTGCCAGTGCGTCTCTGTGTCTTGCAGGAAATTTATGCGTGGGCGTTCAATCTCGACGTAGTTTCCTATCGGGACGATTAGCTGAGCGATTTAACGTTTAACTTTGCCCACGCGTCAATTGGCTTCAATGTAGGTACGTACACAGGGGGTTTGAGATAAATGCACGGGAACGAGTTCACAATATGCCAGAGGCAATGAAAAAGGTAGCTCAAGAAATTTGTCTTCCCTTTTAATCTCGTTACGCTGTTGATCGAGTCTTCCGTACACGGTAAGGGCCCACTTCTATTTTTCCTTCGAGATTCTTCGTAAGGCCCATCGAAAAGTATCGAACTGCCGTGGTGCGGTAAGATTCTTTTTGCCGGGACGATGTCGGTATCGGGGCCCGTATAAGGCCCGGGTTGTACGCACGGGTCCCCTGCTATCCTATACATACACTTCGCCCGGATAACCAGCTCCCGTGTCGCGGTACGCGCCCTTACACGATTCGTCGTAGACGTGGGATCGTAATGCGCGCTGCCATCCTCTCGTAACAATTGTCAGGGGACGAAGAAATCTGATGGAACGAGAGAAGCTGGATAATAAATTCAAATGAGGAATTCCAGTCCACGTAGTATTTTGCTGGTAGGAATCGAAGTATGCCTGCTGTTTTTTCCATTCCTTAGGCCCTGTTCATTGCACGTAGCTCTCTTCCAAGTACCGTGCAGTTCGGAATAGGTTTCAGTCCTTTTTAACGGCGAGTCCATAGCGAGGTGCTCGCTTAATTACCGGTGCTCGTTTCAGCGTGGGCCCTACCTTCGTTCTCTCGCACTTGGGCCCACGATCCCGGTCCGCCCACCCGCATCCGCTGTCTTGGCCTACGTACCAAGGTGTACACAATACAGAGACACGGCAGCACGCATGCACGCACGCACGGCTCTGTAAGCACCGTGCACCGGCTCGCCGATCGTTTTCTTCCTACTTCTCCTTTTTCCTCCTTTTTTCCCATTCTTCCTTTTCCGTCTCACGAGTCCTCGGCTTCCCGGCTCGTCGACTCGTCACGTCCGGCCGCTGGTTTCTTTTTCCGGCCGAGATCCCTCAAAACTGTCGGCGCACTCGAACGCGATGTCCCGTAGATCTGTGTACTCGCCCTAACGACTGCAGTGGGTTGGCTGATAAATAGGTAGGTAGATGTTGGCAGGTATGGCAAAGCTACCTTAACCTGTTCGCGTCGCGACGAGATCGGGTCACTCTGGAAGCAGGCGAATCAGGGAGGCCAAAGAGAGAATTCGACGGAGGGTACACACCGAATGTGAAATCCGCGACATCGACCCACGTTCTTACATAGAAATGCGCCTCCGTTACGTATACGAAGAAATATTACCTGGCAGGTCGAACAACGGGAGCATTAGCATTTTCACGCCTAGATCGGATGCACCCCATCACCTTACACGACACGATCCTCTATGCTCCTTCGGCTTGAACATAGTATCAACATTGCTTTTAATCTATAAACAAGTAACCTTTACTGACCTGAACGCGTCTGCGATCACGTTACGCATCCACTCGATAATTATATCCAGCCAGCCACCCACCCGTCAATCAATCATCTATCAATGGAGAGACACTAGGTGGTTATGATCTTCGAGACACTGGACTTGTCATTGCCGCGCAGATTTCTTTAAGTAAAGTATCGTCTGGCGCGCCGATAAAAGAAGGGCAGGCAGCTTCTAGCTGGTTCTGCCTAGTACTCTCTGTGCAAGCGGTGCTATAGTTTCTGTCGTGCACATTAACGAGAGGGTTCCGTACCGAGTGTTTTAAGATAGCTGACTGTATGTGTGCCACACTGAGCGAGAATAGCGTGCGTGCGGTGCACGAGAGTTCGAAAGAACGAGAGAGAGAAAGAGCGTACGTGATTCTGCCACACGAACGCTCGTAACCATCCGACCACTAGCCACTCAGCCAGTCAACCAGTCATCCAAGCGGCAAGCGAGCTCGCCAGCCAATCAGCCTCCATATAACGCTCAGTGCTGCGGACTTGTCTTGGCTCGAAGCTCTTCCAGTGCCTTCAGTGCCTCCAGTGCCTTCGGTATAGTCTGTTGTTCTCGCCGCGTTCGAGTAACCTAACTTCACTTCGTCGCGAGCGCACGTCACTCCTTCTCATCCATAGAATAGAAAAGCGATCCTGGATCGCGATGGGAAAAATAATGCTTGAACGATGTAAACGCAAGCTGTCTTTTATATGTGATTCTTTGCTGCGACATTGTTAATCCAGTGATAGACACAGTGATCACCTCCATTGGGACTCACCCGGTGATCCTTTTAATAATCTAACAGTGAGAGATGAAGTGAGCGTACTGCCAAGTTTGCTACTGGATTAGAGTGTTGTATATACACCATGGCGCCTCCGGATAGACACAGATCACCTCGGCCTGGATCCGGGCTCAGTCTCTCCGTTCTCGGTTAGTACACGAGATGCTTTGAAGTGATATTTTGCATTATGTGACTCCTTGGGGCAGTTGTACAGAGAGAATTGCTTTGCATTTCTCGTACGTTCGACGCCCGTGAACTACATGCTCCTCCGTGTCGCAAGAGAAAGAACAAGGTAGAATATAGAAAGGCAAATTGTATCAGAGACTTGGCGCATAAGACTGACGTAAATTATCGAGAAACGTCACCCGTGGCCCGTGGGCAGGACTCTTTAGAAATCGCACGTGCGTGACAGCGGGTTTCTCGTGATTATTTTGAAAATGAAGGCAACCGTTGCTGCGCCGAGCTGCTGCCACCTGTTGCACCCAATTAAATCGCGTAATGACATTTGCCTTTCGAACCGTAACCAGCCGTGTACTCCTTTCGTATCCCGACGGATTCTTTTATTTAGCTGCAGCACTCTCAATTCTTTTCTCGTTACTTCGCATTCGCGCCACTTTCGCAGACCGCCCAAGTTGTCTCTCCCCGTATTCATTTGCTTACTTACGTAGCTACCTCTAAGAATATCTTTACTTGTCTTCCTGAACTCACGAGTTGGTAAGTTGGTAAATTACAATCGGTCGATTGTGCGGCCGTCTGAAAGCCGGTGGTTTTGTCATTTCGTCACGCAGCTATTTACTTTCTGACAAAAACGCGGAACCTAGAAACCTCAAGACCTCGGCTGGCTATGTCTCGAGAATAGAGGCGTCGTGGGATTTCGTAATGGAGATAGACGACTAATTTAGATAGCGCCGTACACGAGATTGCAATTGAATTAAACGAGGCGATTGATTCTGCCGCTGTGGATACGAATGGTTTTGGTAAAAGGAAAATGAAAAGTCTCTGATCTATAATACAAATCGGCTAACCAATTGCGATCAGACCAATATTGCGAATCGACAAGCATCAAGCTTTCGATTATCGCGCGAGCAAGGGTTCGGCTAATTGCGAGTCAGGATTATCCTGATAGCGATAAGCTGCCGAGAAACTTGAGGTATCCGCGAAACGATGCAACGGCACGGCGACGTAGACCTTTCCTACGAAATCGCGAACGGTAAACGTGGCGCGGAATATTCATGGAAAATGGCGCGGCTGACTCAACTTCTTCGTACAATCACCTTGCCGTTCCGTCTGCGACGGTACATACGTGTCGATGCCTTTTGACGATACCTTTTTCTTCGAGGATCGGGCTATTAACGGACTCTTTTCTCAGAACGGCTCGTACCGCACACAGACCTGCTGAACCGATGCAGTGAACGGATCCTCGTATACTCCAAAATAATACGCGAGCTACCCGTACGGACCAGCCGGTTTGCCCGTCAGGCGCTGCCAGTCAGGTCAGTCGGGCCGTGAGCACTAAAGTGGTCGAGGCAGGGGAAAGGGTCGGGCGGGGAGAGGGGAACGGTCTAGGTTAATAGTACAGCCGAAAACCCATGAATTCCCAGGGCTCTCCGACTCCCTGGAAAGGAAGCGTGAATATTCATGTTCCGCGCGTTCACGTTCCCAAGCTTTTCACAGCCGAAAGAAACGAGTTCGGTATAGTAAGGTTAGACGAATGAGTGTGGATGAACTATGTACGTCCGTCTCTCTTCCTCTCGACTGAGCTACGGTACAGTGTCCACGCTTTTCAGGGCCACACAGGTGCGTGTCTTTCGCAACGGTGCAAGCTGTAATTGAGCCGCGAGTCATCGTGGATATTACCAAATCAATATCTGGCTACTTTCCAGACGCATATCTACCTACTGGTACACGCGCCTTCCAACGAACCGTACCAACAGCAATGGTACAATCTATTGATCTACGGGCAAGATCATTTTTCGTAAGTTCGGGCTACCCATAGGAGAGCTCGGTTAATTTCATGCAGACAAATGGAACTAGAGTAAGCAGTACGTTATGGATATAAGGATGATTCCCGTGGAATAGTATACCAGGTTGGTAAAGCCCCGAAAAGCGTGACGGGCTTATCCAAATCTTATCGCTGTTTCCTTATCGCTGGGAAACCGGCGGGTAAACACCGTGTGAACTCTTTCGAGAAAAATGAAGAAAAGAAACGGGCTCCGATCGTTACCTGCCTTCTACGAAGTTCTTTCACGAGCATTGCCTTTTTCTTTTTCTTTCTTCCTCCTTTTCTCTGGACGCATTAAGTGCACACGGGAACGCCTGAACGTATCGTGGCCTCTCGAGATACCGATTTAAATACACGAGAGCTGTAGGCGAGCCGTACGGCCCGGTACTTTCTCTCACTCAGGCCCCGAATAACGATTATTACGCGTGACTCGCGTACCGAAACGAACTCCTCCAGCTCTGCGGGTCTTGTGGTCGACGATCTTGTCCACCTCCTTCTCTGGCTGCGCGCCTGTCTTCCTTCGCTCGGCTGGACAAGTTAGAACAAGTCAGGAGGGAACCCCTGCCCGCGTCGCGTCGCCGCTCTTACGCCTGTCCGCTGAAATGAGAATAAAAGGAGACCCGAAAAATTACCTTGGCCGCGCTCGCGGTTTTGATTCGGGTCAACCGCTGGCCGAGCCTCGATCCGCCCCGGGAAGCTTCACGAAAGCGGAGCACAAGTGAGTTCGGAACGGAAACGACAGGTGGAGCAGCGACCGTTGTCCGCGCGGATTGTTCGTCCCACTCGCTTCCTCGTGCGATCTTACCCACTCTAATTTCGCTGGGGAACGGTATTCTATTCTGATCGCTAATTAAGGATTGCGACAGGTTGATTTAACACTTATTCATAACAGTGGCAAGCATTGTAGATTAGGTCCTTCGTGTACCGGATGAGCGTGTCTACGTCGTACACTGGAATATTGGTTAGATTGTGGCTGTGACGAAGACAGGACGAAACAAATCAGATATAGTTTCTAACAAACAATGAGACGCGAGGGCCCTCGGGTCGTAAGAGCCGTGATCCTGTGTAAACTACAACTGGCCATAAGAGTCAGGTCGCGTCGAGTGCGTTGACCCAGCTACGGCCGGCTAGGCAGAGCTGCACCTGTCCGACTTGTATTTACCAGGATAAGGTCGTGCGACCTGAATCATGGCTAGGATACTTCCAGGAGTTCAAGTACGTACGAATGTGACTTCAGGAAATGGAACATTTGAAAATTGAGTATGAAGGTTCACCCTATAGGAAGTACAATCACGTAGCACCGATGTTAGCTACAGGTATCAGACGCGTCTCTTGACCTCACTTTCTCGGGTCAATCGTTCGAATACGAGGCGCCTTGAGGAGTCGTTCGTATGAGCATTATCTATTTGCTGGTCGATCCACGCCAATATGCTGGCCAGATGTGCGTCCCAATAATGTATATATATATATAGTGCGATATAAGTACTTGACGCCTCTCATCCTTTCAGACTTGGCGCAGATACGCGCCCTGGTCGAGTCATCGGGGATGGGTGGCTCGATATGTCCATCCTGCGAGATGCCTTTCGACAAGGGCAAGAAGCGTCGGCTGATCGACTCCTGCGGTCACGAACGCTGCTACTCCTGTCTCTTTCGCAGCGAGGCTTGTCCGCTCTGCCTCCAGGACGTCAGACCCGAGGATGAGCTTCATGAGACCACTTTTAATTCGGGCTCTGGTTACGCTCTGGCGTCAACTCCTATTTCCAGCCTAGGCTACGGAGACGACTGGGTCGACGATTCCTCCACGGTGAATTCGCTATGCGGCAGTCCAAGGCCACGCGCTAAGGTTGCTGCCAGGACCAGCCTACCACTGAGAGTCATACACGTAAGTTGCGTATTTGGAATTATTCACGCCAAGGTGGAGATCATGAACCAATGACGCGTCTTGGTACCAATACGCCCACTGGAGCTATGAAACGCGATGGTTCCATGAGTCGCTTTACACCTACGCCGAATCTTGATTCAAGATGGTCGTGTTGAATTGGATCTATAATCAGGCCAATGGGCTTCGCGCGTGACGGCCGTACCTTATTCTATTATGCGATTACTTCATTCGACTTTCTACGTGAATCTTTTAGCAAAGAGAATCGTCAGCGGACATGGTGTCATCCGTGGGCCCGGCCAAAGGCCTCAAAGCAAAACCACCGGTCTTACCAGAGTCTACGTCCCAGGCTCGTCACAAGGTCGTAATGGCGCAGAGTAAGTTGACGATAACTTCTTATGATTTTCCACGTGCGATATCTTTATCGGAACTTACGCTTCTATCGTCCTGGTTTTATCTTTCGCTGGTCCAGGTTGCCCGACGCCTCCCAACCAACGGCGAAGGTTCTTCCTCAACCCGAAGGTCCTCCGAAGTCCTTTTGCTCCGCAGAGAGCCGCCAGGCGCAGTGCTACAGCTCCAGAGCACACTGGAAATGAGAATCCCTCCGCGTTGTCAGGTAAGAACTTTGTCACGGTATTTTCTTATGGGTAGTTTCAATCGACGCGACAGTGTCTTTTGAATAAATTGGAGACAATAGGGATGTGATATCGTATTGCGAGAGTTGAGAATAAACATGACGCGTACGCAGCATGGATGACATCGTCCTGGGAGGGAAAATCTCGATGGCCTGGTGTTGTCCTCGGGAAAATCAAGTCCTTATGGAGCAGCAGCCAGGGTTCGACGAGCGACGGCCTAAATCAGCTGATTGGATCATCGGACAAAGTTACAGGCAGGAGGATATCTAGTTACGAGTGTGGATATTGAGTTAACGAGTGATTTTGAGTATGCAAACTTCTTGGGTACTTGCGTACCGTGCTGGCTGATGATATTTACGGGGAAAAAAAATGGGGACATAATTTCAGGTCGTAATGTATTTTTTACTTAGGAAAAAAGCATTTTGGACTAAGCATGATCGACCCGAACTGTTAACTGCGCCAATGACGTGTGATCTTGCATCGTGAAGAATGATTTGCTGTGCGCTCGATAGATGATTATTTTGAAATAAGTGACGAAACTTTTCATTAATAGTTCTCATATTTTCGCAGATGACGAGGGTGGAAATGTTAAGCCTCTCTCCTCGAAAACAAGGAAGTCTTCGCAGTCGGATCTTTATATGCGGTTGGGTCTGCTTTTGGGAGCGGGTCATTCCCGTGCAAACGGCTCTGGGGATGCTCCAGGATTCGCAAGAGTTCCAGGACTCGCTACAGGTCCCTGTCCAAGGCCTGTGATGAGACTGCACGAGGGTCAGGGTCACGATAGTTCAGCAGCGTCTTTCAGCAGTTTGACAAGCTTTGAGACGCAGACGCTGGCATCGACTAATACAAGTCCAGTGTCGACCTTAACAGGGACATCGAGTGAGGCTGAAGCAGCGGCTGCCCTTAGGGGACCTATAAAACCCAAAGTCAAGGCTAAAGGCAAGGGTAAGACCCGGGACTGCGACAGTGCCGGAAGTCTTGCTTCCATCTCTACCTCTATTTCCGCCTCGACTTCCATGTCCATGTCTATGTCGGTATCCGTATCCGGATTGTCGAATGGCAGCTCCAGTCCTCTCACGCCCCGAAGACATTCCGTCACGACGACGCAGCCGGGCCAGGTTGAGGAATTGGGTCAGTTCAAAAATAGGAGGTCCTGTGCCAGGAGGTCTGCCAGGACCGGGAATATTAAAAGACCTGTAGATCCGAAAGGTACGTTATTTCAGTAATTGATCGGCACTGTGAACGTGACGTGAGATCTCACTTTTTAAAATTATCTTGCAGTTCGATTTGCACATCATGCGGCTCAATTGACGCTGAAGCCACTGTTCTTCGAAGTGCCGCTGCTGGAAACTGATCCACTTTTCACGGGTAGACAATGGCTTCTCCACGAGCTAGAGACAGTGATAAATGGATCGGGTCCCGGGGTGCTCATATCTGGATCGCCAGGTACTGGAAAAACTGCTCTGATATTACAGCTGGTCGAGCACAGCTGCTTCGGAAGAAGACGAGACCAACCGAGTGAGACGGAAGCCGAGGAAGTCATCGAAGAAAAGGAGAAAAGCACTGCCAGTATGCATGCCAGTATTCGAACCACAAATGACAAGGTCAATAGAAATACCAATGAATCATATAAAATTCTTTGTTCCAACTGAATAAACTCAAAATCCCGTTGACTCCAGGTTCGCGAGTTAGCGTCCCATGTCGTGGCCTATCATTTCTGCCAAGCGGATAATAATAGTACCTGTCTGGTTCCGGACCTCATACACTCACTGGCGGCTCAATTATGTCAGGCGCCACAGTTAACATCCTACAGAGAGTATTTACTATCAGAACCACACCTACAAGGCTCACTCTCGCAAAGAGAATGCACCGTGGATCCGGACCTGGCTCTTTCAAGAGGAATTATCGAGCCTTTATCAACCTTAAAGAAGGCTGGCAGATTGCCGGATACTAATGTGGTAAGATTCATAACAGCGAAGTAATACTATAATCCTCATACCTAGTCCAGGCTGTAATTAATTACACACTCTATCTCTGATATCTAGGTCATTCTAATCGATGCTATATGCGAGGCCGAGTATCACAGACCAGACAGGGGTGACACGATAGCTTCCTTCTTGACAAGACACGCTTCCAATTTCCCAAATTGGCTTAAAGTCGTCTGCACCGTAAGAACGCAACTGCAGGAGTGTGCCAAACAATTCCCATACACGAGGCTCTCGCTGGACAAGAGTTCAAACGATCATATTGGCAATCATATTAGCAAGGATCTTGCGGATTATATTGGCTACAGGCTCGCGCAGAGTGCTGCCATCCAAACGAACGTGACCGCCTCCGTGAACGGCAAGGCAGAATCTTCGTGCGTTGCGAATCAAACTCGATTCGCTTCGCATCTCCTCGCTCTCGCCAGAGGCAGCTTTCTCTTTGCGAAACTCACGCTTGATCTTATCGAGAGTGGACATCTAGTCGCTAAATCTGCAAGCTACAAGGTGGGACATCGACGTTGATCGTCTCGTTGAAGACAATGATGCCAGGGATACGGTCCTTATTAATTTAATCTTTTTCTTTTTCTTTCTTTCAGGTTTTACCGGTCTCTCTCGCGCAAATCTTTCAGCTGCACTTTAATCTGAGGTTTCCCACCGCTACATCCTTCGACAAAGTACAGCCTCTCTTGGGCGTGTGTCTTGCGGCACTTTACCCGTTGACCTTACCCGAGATCTTTTATTCCGTCAATTCCTTGAACGCCAATCGCTTCGTCTCGTGGGATGATTTTCTACAGAGATTTAAGGTGAGAATACGCAGGGAGCTGCATTATTGATAAATTTCTATATTACTTCCTCTAACCGTTGCCTCATTCGTTTCTTGCTGCTAGTACATACGCAGGATGTGTGAGTCGTGGGTACATTATATGTGTATAGTATTTTCAGTTAAGTTTTCGAGAACGTGCGTTCGATAGTGAACTTAAAGATTTATTGTTTAGATGCTCTCTGGATTTCTGGTGAAGCGGCTGGACAATACCTACATGTTTTTCCATCCGTCATTCAGGGAATGGTTGATGAGGCGGGACGAGGGCGAGTCGACAAAGTTTCTCTGCGACCTGAGACTCGGTCACGCGGCCATTGCTTTTCGATTGTCTCGACTTCAAGCACCATTGGACGGTGATAAGATCCTGGAACTTGGTCACCACGTACTGAAGGCGCACGTGTACAGAGGAGTCGCGCCATGCTGGCCCTCTCGCGATCTACAAGCTGTATGGTTGGCATCTTCAACGGAATGCGTTTCCTCGGCTCTCTGTACCTTGAGGAACATCTACAGTCCCAATGTCAAGGTCTCGAGGCTGCTACTGCTGGCAGGAGCATCACCGGACTTCATCACGGAGTACTTGGGCCAAGCGCCCGTCCTTTGTATGTACGCTCATGAGGGTTCGGTAGAGATGGTATCTCTTCTATTGGAATTTGGTGCTGATGTGGAACTGACCAATAGTCAAGGGTGTACTGCATTGTCACTATCGGCATCTCGAGGACACTGCGATGTCGTCAGAAGGTCAATATAGTTGCCTGAACTAAAAGAAGTTGGTGAAAACTTTTGAAACGCAGTATGGTTTGAAATTGTAGGTTGGCAGCTGCCGGGGCGTCTCTTGGTCACGCGGATATGGCCGGTCAGTGTCCTTTGGTACACGCAGCCAGACACGGAAGACTCTCTGTCGTTGGATATTTATTGGCCTGCGATTGGCTAGTACCTACTGCAAGTAGTGTGTCTGAAAGTGCTTCTTCAGACGTGGGCAGAGAAGAAGCGGCCCAACAGGCTGTGGTAGCTGCAGCAGCGCAGGGCCATGAGTCGATTGTAGAGTACCTTCTGGATATGGCTGAAGTGACGGTAGACAGGCCGGATACTTTGACTGGAGAAACTGCTTTGACTATAGCAGCTGCCAATGGTTCCACAGCTACAGTTTCTGCCTTAATGGCTCGAGGAGCAAGTGCAATAGCGACAAACGCGAAGGGATTGTCGCCTCTTATGTTGGCAGCTAGAGAAGGTCACTGGGGTACTGCTGAAAGGCTTCTCGAAGGTTGGTTTTTTATGGTTCTAGAAAATCTAGGATTCGCGCGATTATACATTAAATGTTTTTATTACTTTGCTTAGGATCATTGTCCAGTAGTACGGATCGAGTTTTGGATGAAACAGCACCGCTCTTGGAGCAACGCGATCCCGCCGGCAGAACGGCTTTGATGTTGGCAGCTGCAGAAGGACACACAAATTTAATTGAACTGTTCTTGGACAAAGGATCTGTTCTCGAGGCTCCCGATAAAGAAGGATTAACTGCTCTGGGTTGGGCTTGCGTTAGGGGCAGACTGGCAGCCGTTCAGAGTTTACTCGATCATGGAGCCGATGTTAATACCAGTGACAACACTGGACGAACTCCTCTCGATTTAGCCGCCTTCCAGGGCAATCCTAAGCTGGTTCAGTTACTCCTGGAGAAAGGCGCAGCCGTAGAACACGTTGACTTGCACGGAATGCGACCTCTGGACAGGGCAATAGGTTGCCGCAATGTTCCTGTTGTGCAGTGCTTCCTCCGTCGAGGTGCAAAGTTGGGTCCTGCTACCTGGGCAATGGCAGCCGGAAAGCCCGACGTGCTCTTGATATTGCTAAACAAGCTTTTGGAAGACGGCAATGTTCTGTATCGCAAAGGTAGACTAAAGGAGGCTTCACACCGTTACGCTTACGCGCTACGAAAATTCCCAGGACCCCCGGAACAGAATCAGGATAATCAGAATCAGGAGCAGAATAATCTGGTCTTGCATCTCCCCACATTCGCACAGCTCAGATTAAACTTCTTACTTAACTTGAGTCGATGCAAACGTAAGATGAACGTAAGTATTGCCCTAGCATAAGAATTTTACATCCTGTATCCTCGTTAACACCTTAAATACAATGCTGCTCATAATCCATCAGGAATGCGAAGAAGCGATTGAACTAGCAGACGAAGCTCTCAAGGCAAGACCAGTATCCTATGAGGCCTTTTACGCCAGAGCAAAGGCCCGGGTCGACGTTGGATTCTTGGAGCAGGCACTTGCTGACGTCCAGGAAGCTTTGCAAATTGCACCACCCCACAATCGTCAGGATCGTAAAGTCCTTGCAGCCCTTAGAGAAGAAATTGTATCTCGGTTAGAAGGTATAGGTTCTGGAGGTTCGGTCGCACCAGGAGAAAGCATTTCCAGATCTCGACTTAGGGCATCAGTGGACACCCTCACCGAACTTTGAACTTCCATATAATAAGAAAGAAAGGTCCTCGAGACTTGAGGCGAGTTATATATCGTTACCCAGGAGGATAACACGATACCGCGTATGATACGGAGCAGCTGCTTATTGAAAGCTCATGTACGACTCATCTATTCTGCTCCGCGTACGCGTTAACGTCATAGCTTTAATGAAAAATTCCCATTATCACAGCATTTCATTCGCGAGCATTGTGTCTGATGTAATTTACTCGATAAGCGAGTTTTCGTACTAAGCTTTACTTGAATTCGACATCCGGTTTCGAACCGTGACGTTACACTTTAATATATATATTTGTATACTATTATAATAGATTGGCTTTATCGCGTCGTTGTAACATTGAAATTATTTAATATTTAATCACAGTATTCTCGTTGTTTATCGGGTCCTGCGAGTCCGCCGCGCATCCTCAAAGTCGGACGTCGTGTTCCTCGCACTTCGAACACCGATTGTCATACGGAGTCTCGCCAATCAGCTATGACATAGGAGTCCAGATCAAAGAGACAGTTATAAGAAATGCACGCATCTTGCCACGCCGTAAGCATCAATATAGGTGTACCAAGCATTATGATACAGATTATCAATGCTCGAGTATATTCAAAATAGGAAACAATTGAATGTGCATATTCACAGCCTATCGATGATAGTACCTACTATGCTATATCGATAATCGAAATGTAATCGAAAATCACGAATGTTATTGACCCGTATCGAAGAACAATGGTGTCAAATAAACGAACGTTTTATTGAGAATCGATGTTTGCCTATTTCATTCGCCTTATAGTCCATCGTCATACGAGCCCATCCTGATTTCTCGTGTGTTCCTAAAATAATCCCAAATACTTGCCTAAGTAAAATATCCATCACGTGACTGCCTGACCTTATCACGATTTAATGACTCATTCGTTTGCATCGACATGAAGATTCGTTTTTTTTTACATAGAATCGCGTGAGCTGTGCGTCAACATTATTTTTAGATAAATCGATCCTTCCTGACACTTTAGATTGTTCGAGGAATATATCTTCGAATACTCATTTTGCGAAATTTTTCACCGCTCGTGCCGGGACGATCAATCATTGGCTTATAATATCGTGAGCCAATAATAATATAGTCGTCATGCGATATTTCATAGTTCTGCTATGAGATATTCATATAAGATTGCTGCTACATGGATTAACGCATTTATTCTTTGCCTAAGTGTCATCAGATTTGAGCTTACAAAATATTGACAAGCTGTGATTACCTGTTAAGTTGCATTGGCAAGTATTAAAAAAAGGGAATGTTATAGCATTTTCAATGAGAATAAATACCATTTGCTTAATTGTTATAATTCTTTTAACTTATGACCCGACACCGATAGCAAAACATACGAGAACGACTATCTTCGAGAACCAACCTACGTTACCTTCGGCCGTCCACCCGTCGTTCGTGCATCCGCAAGCCAGGCGGCCGCCAG